GAACTCGTGCTTAAGGATCAATGAACATTGTACGATGGGTCATCCTATGTATCCAAGTCCCTTTTATTGTGCACAAGGGCATGGGACTTGTCAGGACATGAATCTGTGCATTTTTGGGGTCTTTCCCGAAGGAATTGACTATTCCTAGTCACTTTCCCGCGGATCCCCAACGGGTCCTTGACGGGACCTTGGCGGGTCCTTGGCAGGAGCTTGGCAGGCGGACGATCGCCCACCTCGCGCCCACTGGTACAATGTGCTGATTTCTTAACCCCTCATTTTATTGATTTGTGGCGCACTTGTGTGCCTCGATTGAGGAATGTGAGTCTTGGGTAAGGAACCATGGACCACCTAAACATAGTGTCCTACGTAAAAGACCTTGACGCACGAGGCACCATCGGGAAATCACAATCAATTACATTGCACGAGTAATTGAAATCGGATCCTACGATACAACCGACTAGGGATGTTTGGCATAAAGGATTGCGCAAACCAAGGAGGCGAGTTGGGAACTCGTACTAAGAACCCACGAAAACCTTAAAAGTCAAAATGCTAAGGAGGGACCGGGACTCCTCCAAACCATGGACATCGTTCGAGCAAATCAGAGGACTCCTTACAAGTTGTATGGAATCAAGAACTACGTAGCCCATGGTGCTAAGCAAAAAGGGTGAAGAACACATTCGCGCCAAGACTTCAAGGGTCATTAAGGACCTACAAGGAGATGAGGTGACTCGTAAAGTCGCCGAGTCATCCCACAACGAGATTTGGTAACCGACTGCGCTTTAAAAGAAAAAGGGCACGCAAGGACACCTTCATCATTAAAAATAACACAAACAGGGCACAACAATGCCGAACCTCGGGTAAGACATGAAGTCTTACTAAGAATTTCATCCACTAAAGAGGAGATGAAATTCAATAAGAAGAGAAATTCAACCCAAAATCCATCGACTCCCAAGAGACTTTGGGAAGAATTTGGGAAATGCGCCCTAAGAGATTGGCTTGGTTGACCCAACTCGGTCAAGACCTTGGACGCATTAAAGAAGTAAGTGTTGAATCACCACGGGAAATTCCCTCAAGAAAGAAGAGAAGGATGAAACCTTAGCCTGGGAAGCAAGGTCTAACAAGGATCTTAAAGTCAAGCAAGCACCAACACCAAGGAAGGAGGATCATCAGCTCGTCGGCGCATCGTGATCAAAGCATCTAACCAGATTCTTCACTTGGGATCGAGAAACCTTAACCCATCCTAGCCGAATTCCTTTCCCTCCCTCGGAAAATCGGCCCCTTCCTTATTTCAAAACCCTTTCTACCCTTCAGACCCCATTCTCAATCCCATGTTTTAACGATTCCATACAAGTGGCAACCTCACAACCTAAGTTGCAACCTCGAAAACTTGATCCTAATTCCTGAATTCACCGTGTCCTCAAGTTTGAAACCCACTCTCTTAACCCTGTAAAACCTAATCGCTCCCAAAAACCAAACACACATAGGCGTGCAAGTATACAATTTCCCCATGGAATACCTTCTCTATAGGACCACGGTTCTTCTCTTGACTCGTTAACCCTGCAATGATTTCCAAGCTTCGGGGACGAAGCTTCTCGTAAGGGGGGGAGAGTGTAACACCCCGTGTTACGGCCTTCAATCCCGGATTAATTATTAAATTAATCCCGTTAATAATAATTAAATATGATTTAATTCGGTTAGGTTTCCTTTAATTAATTAATAAAGGTCCACCATGAACCGTGGACCCTTGCCTAAATTAGAGTCCTAAGCCTATTAGGAATAAAGAAAGTAAACCCTTTACTATTCAGATTCTAATTAGGAATCCTAGACCTAGTTATCTATTAGGAATAAAGGAAGTAGGCCTTTTACTATTCAGACTACGATTAGGATTCCCTTTAATTAATTAATATGGTCCACTATGGACCATGGACCCTTATCCCTAAAACCCAATCCTTAGTTCCAAAAGGAATAGAATTAGCAAGCCTATAATATTAGTTCCTAACCAGGACTCCTAAATATATAAATAAGGGACTTAAGAGGCACCTAGAACCCCCCACCACAATAAACGTTCCACCACCCCAAAGTGCTCCAAGAATCCCCTTAGAAGAAATCAAGAATCCAAGAAAGCTTAAAGAAAGACCCTTCATAGCCAAGGAATTAATTAAGGCTAAGAGGTAACCCATGTCTCAACAAAACCTATTTTCATAGTTATGATTCCCCCTTAGGGTTTCCCCATATTATTGTGTATTGGTGAGTTATGATGATTATTATTGATAATTGATGTGATGATCCCATGGGGGATCTTGATAATCTTGATATTGGGAGATTCTTGATAATTATGGTGTTCTTGATGATTATGTGGAGTTCTTGATGATTATTTGTCGTTCTTGATAATTGTATGGCGTCCTTGATGCTTATGTGTTATTTGTACCGAATCTTGCAATTAAAAGACGAACCGTATTCTTGTTGGTATAAAAGTGATTAGAACCCTAGGTTGTATCGTATGATATTATTCTTGGATTATCGGGTGGGGAAATCGCATGTTTGGGTGTTGATTATATTTAGAAAAGTATGATAGGTTATGTACCGTTCGTTTCTCATATTTGATCCGTTAATTGTCTACTTGTTGTTGTTAATTGCGTTGTAAAGTGTCTAAGCATGGTTTCGGGTTCCACAACGGTTCCCGGGGCGAAAAGTGATGAAAAGAGTCAGTGGGGGGTAGGTGGGGGTAGGGGACCCGCCACCTACCCGTGGCATTCTCGGGCAGCTCCGGCAGCGGGCAGCCGGCGGGCGGGCAGCTGCCCGCCGGGCACCCGCTGCCCGGAACAGTGGCAGCCGGCGGGTGGACCCCCACCCACCAGCTACCCGCTAGAAATTACACTACCTCGGGCTCCCGGCTTCCCCGTTTGATGTTTCCCCGATCCCCGTGGTGTCCCAACGGACCCCATTTGTCGTGCCTATGTCTAGTTTGATGTTTCGGGTACCGTTCGTAGGTTTATGAGTCTGTTATATCGCATGCTAGATGAATTGGTATCCCGTTGACCTAGGTGAAGAAAGTATGAACCCCTTAGGACTATTCTTAGTATGTGATGGATCACGCATAGGTTTTGTTATACGTTTTCCCCCCGTTCCTAATCTGTAATGTGGGTTGCATGTGCTTGCTATGTGTTATGTGTGTGTGCTACCCCAATTCGGTTGCGATCGGATTGGTTATCCTGAGCTGCGGTTCAGAAGCTGGCTGCGGTCAGATTGGTATTCCTGGCTGCGGTCAGTTGACATTCTCTTGGGCTGCGGTCCACCGTTTGGTTGCGATCAAACGTTTCTATACGAGCTGCGGTTCGTCCTTTATCCCGGCTGCGGTCAGATGACACTCTCTTGGGCTGCGGTCCACTGTTTGGTTGCGATCAAACATTATGATGAGCTGCGGTTCATCGGTCGGTTGCGATCGACCTCCCCGTGTTGCGATACGGGGCCTGGTGCTGCGGGGCTGTGTCAGAGCTATATGCGCTGACCCTCATGTATGGGCATGCGATCGGTCCCGTGGCGCCAACAATGTGTGTTATGTGTGTGATATGGACGAGTTGTGACTATGAGTGCCTTGGGATGTGACTATGGGATTTATATTGTGGATTTATCATGTTGGGTTATGATCATTGTTTATGCTTTGCCTTATCTGCCTTATCTGTTGGGAACTGCATATGCTTATTATAACTGTTGCTTGTGTCTGGCCTTATCTGTCGAGTCATTCCCGGTTTTAAAGCTAGAGTTCGTAGGATATATCTTCATGCTCAAAATGGTTTTCGTATATCTATATATATCTCTATATGTATTGTATTTCAACGCGTTGGAGTGGGTTACCAGCATCTCTCGCTGAACAGATATATTTGGCTTTCAGGCACAGAAGATTAAGTCACTGGAGTGCGCTAGAACTTAGAAGTAGATAGTTTCCCTTTTGGCCTGCGTGCCACGTTTACGTATTTATGCTTTGAGGATATTAGTTAGTTAGCCTGTGCACTTGGGTTCTCTAGCCCAGGTGTGGCATAGCACCCCGAACGCTTGTATTTATATCTTGGGATTTAATAAGATTCTACCTTTATTATAAGTTTTAAATGTCTTGAAAATCTGGGGTGTTACACTGGTAGAGACCGGTCAGGTATATAAATATTATATAGGACAGAGGTCCACTATACGGGCAGTTGAATGGGCTGAGAACCATCCCAACTATTAACCAGGCTGGTAAAGACCGGTCAGGTATATAAATATTATGTAGGACAAAGGTCCATCAGTCGGTTGCGATCGGCTCCTCCGTAATGTGAGACGGGGCAGGGTGTTGCGGGGCCGTGTCAGAGCTATATGCGCTGACCCTCATGTATGGGCATGCGATTGGTCCTGTGGCGCCAACAAAGTATGCTATGTGATGAGATATGGAGGAGTTGTGTTTATGAGTATATTGGGGGATGTGACTAAGGGATTTATGCTGGGGATTGTTTATGTTGGGTTATGATTATTAATTATGCTTAGCTTTATCTGTCTTGCCTGTTGTGGATTGTATACGCCTGTTATAATTGTTGCTTGTGTCTAGCCTTATCTGTCGAGTCATTCCCGGTTTTAAAAGCTAGAGTCTCATAGGATATATCTTCATGCTTTAAAATGGTTTTCGTATATCTATATATATCTCTATACGTATTGTATTTCAACGCGTTGGAGTGGGTTACCAGCATCTCTCGCTGAACAGATATATTTGGCTTTCAGGCACAGAAGATTAAGTCACTGGAGTGCGCTAGAGCTTGGAACATAGAAGTAGTTAGTTTCCCTTTCGGCCTGCGTGCCATGTTTATACATTCATATCATTGAGACATTAGTTAGTTAGCCTGTGCACCTGAGTTCTCTAGCTCAGGTGTGGCATAACACCCCGTACACTCGTACTCTGTTTGGGATTTAATGAGATTTCACCTTTATTTTATAAGTTTTAAATATCTTGAAAATCTGGGGTGTTACAACGCCCTTGAGGTACCCATTGCGCTCGCCGAAATCCAGTGAATGGAATCTGGCTGGTCCCTTCCTGTGGTGAGTGTGGGACTTGAACACCGACCCGGCACCTTTGCGCTGTGCTCGGATCACCCGTCCCATGTCGTTCTCTCTCTCTCTCTCTCTCTCTCTCTCACGGAGATGGAGGAGCGCTGCTGGATAAATGGACAGGGAGGCGATGTTTAGGGTTTTAGAGGGTTAGCTGTTTCACTAAATAGTACAAATATGGATTTATCGAATGGACCCCTCTGCTATTTTCTAATTGTAATAGTTACCATTTAAATTATAATTTGACCTCTAATGTTTGAAAATAGAAGCGATGATGCGCTTTGTTATTCTTTTATCATAGGGAGGGGGACCCCACGAAGGCTATTGCCTCCTAGTTGGTCATTGAATAAAGCTTCTCTCACTTGGGTAGGAGGGTCATTGAATTCACACTATTCACTAGTACCATTTAAGGCTAGGATATTGGCCACTTGATTTTGCTCATGCCTCATGGAAAATATGCATAACCGCTATGTTTCTTATAGACCTCATTAGCCTCTTGATGTTCTCAATCAAGAAAGCAATTTTTCCCCCACTTTTTCTTTTATCTCTGATGATATTCGCTGCCTCTTTTGAATCACTCTATATGTCAATATTGGTGCAATTTGTTTGACTAGCCCATCAAATTCCCTTCTATATTGCCAAACACACAGCATCTAACGGGTTGTCTGCATGTGTTTTACAGATGAAACCTCCTTCACAATTCTTGTCACTCGACCTAATGCAACCTCCATAACCCACCTTGGAGTCTCTGCTCCAATATTTTCCATCAGTGTTGTGAGCCAGCCGACCTTCCCCTAGCGCCTTCCAGCATAAAGCCATGGTTTCAACATTGTTTGTGTTCATTCCTGAGGATTTTGCTTTTGTGAAGGCTGTAGAGGACTCTTTAATCTAATCCATTAGCCACTTGTGCTTGAGAGTCTCGTCTCCTTCTGAGTTGTGGAATACATACTCATTTCTCCACTTCCAAATCCACCAAGTAATAATGGCGAAGTTGGCACTCTAGTTAACAATATATGAAACCACTATCTTTGTTTCTAAGTTTTCAACGAACCAGTCTTGGAACAAAAGAGTGTCCAACCACTGGAGTTCCTCCCTCGAAATGAATTTCCTCTAGATACATTTCACAGTAGGCCACCAGAAAACAATACGTGGTCAATATCCTCATTTTCGCTCTTGTAGACAACTCGTCTGTCATCCATGGAAAAGATTCTCTTTCGTCTTTTAACATTGGTCATGAGTTACTTATGTCTGAGAAGCCAAATAAACGTGCGAATTCTCCTTTGGACCTTGACTTTGTAGATTTCTTTATGTTTATGAAGCCTTATGTTAATGAGTATGGAAACATTCTTATTGATATCTGATGGATGGTATATTGGACTGATCGATCCTACTAGTCAACCAAAAGGGCCTGGGCCACACGAACCAACCCAAGAAATTAACTTGATTAAGGAAGTCCAAGAAGGATACCTAGTACGGAGCAACTTAAGAGTTTAATAAGAATTGAGCATAGTATTCATAATGTAATAATGATTGGACTTATTATTCATAACGTAACAAGAACTCCCAATATGAGGCAATCTAGGATTTCTATTCCTTGTAGGGCCCTTAGTCCAAAATATGTATAAATAGACCCCATACATAGGGAGAGAGAAAGAGAAAGAGAGAGAGAGAGAGAGAGAGAGAGAGAGGGAGCAATTTTTTACTATTCACAAGCAATATTCAAAAATACAATACTTACTCTCTATATTTTCTTTATTCTCATATACTCGTTATTTTAACGGTTGTGTTGGCCAACCGTTGACTACCAAAATTCATAAAACAACATAGGTGCCGTTTGTGGGGATCGATACAAAAAGTTACGTTCATTCCTCAAACCCCTAAAATACAAATCTAGAAACCCTAGATCATGGTTACCACTCGCCGACATGGCTGATTTGGTCGGTCGACCAGTGACCTACGTGAAACCCTAAGCCATCCTAATTCCAAAACATTGTCCGACCACTCCACCATCTCAGGGAGAGTGATTTGGAGGATGAACCGGCCCCTCGGTACCCAATGGCCTTCGGTGATCGGTTATTGGCCCTCGGTCCCCAGCAGTTAGCCATCGCCAACCGTGAATCGGCCGCTCAATGTCTCGGTACCCAACAGCTCCCAGTGATTGGCCATCGACCCTCATTAGTTGGCTATCGCCAACCATGAATCGGTCACTCGACCTCTTGGTACCCAACTGTAACAACCCAAAATTTAATTTTATAAATTCAATTTTAAGAAATTCCAAAATAGCCATTTTCACTCCTTTAATTTTTATTTTTTTAAAAAAAATAAATTGGTGTTTGAATAAATTATTTTGAGTTACATTTTAAATTAATTCAACACCGAAACTTATTTTAATTCCAAAATCCTAAATTTTTTGGTACTTCGTGTACCAAGTTTTAAATTTAGAAACCAATCTGAGTGAAACCGAGAGAAACCTGAACCAAGCGTTTGTTTAGAAATCCTCTTTGGAAAAAATCTATTTTTGACCCCAAACTATTTGAAACTATCCTTCTAGACTTGGTTCCATTTTGCTTGGTGAACCACAAGCTCCCAAATTCCCTTGCCTGATGCATTCTTTAGCCAACCTTTGCTATTTTTACCCTCACCCAATCATAGGAGAATCTCCTAGGGTTTTGCACCCTATAAAACCCACACTATTCACTCCTCAGTCCTTGATCTCATTCCCTTGTCTCTCCAAGTCTTGTCTGATAGAAGAGCAAAACAATCACAGTAAGCTTCATCCTTCATCTTCCATTCTTTCTCTTGCTTCTAGTGTTGTTTCTTTGGCCTCCATTCTTTGAGATTCTTAGGCTTAGTTTGTGTTTTTATTTGGGATGTTTAGGTGGTGAAAGAAGTGGTGGAAGTTGAGTGGAGAGAAGGCTGAGATCCGCACAAGGAGGAAAAACAAGAAGAGGTATAACCCCACGGACTCCCTCTTCAATTTTGGCTCTATGAAGCCTAGATTCTTAAATAGAAATGAGTAGAAATGGTAGATTTTTGTTGTGTTTGAGCTAGGAAGTGATCTATTATTTGTCTATGATGTGTTGATCATGTTTTGGATGTTTTGGACTTGCTTGATTGTGTTTTTCAGATGAATGAGACGGCTCTAGCCGCGGCCCATCAAGAGGGCCGCCGGCTAGTGCCGTGGCCAACCGGGTCTAGGGTCATTGCCTAGGCTCGGCGTTGTGGCGGGTTGTGAGGGGCGGGTGTGAGTGATCTGTGTAGTGGCTGGGCCCTTGTGGCTCAGCTACGTGTCGTTTCGGGCCAGGTGTCACGGGCCATTGTGGCTCGGGACCGTCTCGACGCACGTTTTGGCTTTGATTTCGTTGAATTTGGATTAGAAATGAGCATGTTATGATGGATTTAGTGATGATTTTCTACACAGTATGTATGCTGAATGTTCACTGTCAATGAGAAATGTTTTGTTTTGTTTTGTTGCCTTGATGTTATTTATGTATTGAGTAGAGAAGCATGATCACATTGAGAATATGATTTATTAGAAAAGCATGACTAGAATGTGTTGTTTGACCAATGAGATTTGGAGTATATTTGGTGGTAGAAATTTATAGAGTTTGATATGCTGCAAACCGAGCATGATATTGTATTCTTGAGAATTTTATAATATATATATATATATATATATATATATATATATATATATATATATATATATACGGAGTTGAAGCATGTTGTATAGCATTTTGCATTTCAAGCATATCATGTTTCAAAAGTGCATAAGTGGCCAACGCGAGCCTAAGAATTATTTTCCAAAACTCATGAGTATGTGGAAAGTCTTTATCTGGTTGCATTGAGAATTTGTTGAGAAGTGACATGCTTAAGTTTGGTGCATGAGAGATATATATTATCTATCTATATATGTGAGGTTTTGGAGGATCCGTTTGGACTACGTCCTCTCGGGAAGAAAGAAATGGACATTGCGGTCCAAGTATATGTAACGCAGCGTATTTCCACGTTACGAGGTTGGAGACTGCCCGCCAGGCTTGGAATCCTGGTTAGGGGTGTGCACACTAAAGGTACGATACCTGATTCCACAGAGAAAGCAAGAAAGAAAGATAGAACCAAGAGAGTGGTTCTGTGGGCGAGTTGAGTATGTGGCCGGCTAGATTGCCGAGCTGGCTAGGTCCATTCACGATTCGTGAAGACCTACCTCCCCACGAGTTAGAGGTTCCGTAGTTACGGATGTAGCGGATGCACGAGATTGCACCGTACGCTAGGGCTTCGCTGTGGCGGAGTACTTGCCTCGCACAAGAAAAGAATTGAGAAGTATGATAAAGTTTAAGCAAGAAAGAAATCGAGTCAAGAGACTCAAGAGAAAGAAAGTGAGTCATTGCGAGTCTAAGACCTCCACAGAAATGTATTCTATTTTTTAAACGAGTGTATGAGTATATGTATAATATTGCACGAGATTGCATTTGAGTATAGTATTGCACGAGATTGCATAATGAGAATGATTAGCCGTGTTTGTTTATGAGTATGACTGCTTAGTTGCATTTTGAAGTCTTATATACCTAGTTGCTTGTTGAGAACTTGAGGGCATGAAAATAATTTTCGTATTGATTGATAGTATGCAATTGCTTATAAGCATGAGTTCGTTATGATGAGTTTGTTATGAGAATTATGTGTTGGAGTATTTATGTTATTGAGTCATTTATATTGAAGCATGTCTGCTGATATTATAGGTTGCAAGCATATAGAAAGTCTGTGATGTATCTTAAAGTTGTTTAAGTGTTGAGATTGGTTGACTCAGTATGTGAACAAATGTTTTTCCAAAGTATATTCTATAGTACTTTACAGGGTTGAGAGTGGTTATACTTAGCTTCGTGCTAACGGGTGTTTTCCTATTTGTCTATGTGTTGTTTGTAAAACCCCTTTCAGGTGGGCCCAGTGTTGAGAGGTGATCGAGTTAAACTAGTCTAGTATCTCTAGTAGTCTGAACTCATAGTCTTTTATCATGATGTTATTTGTCAGATTTATAGACTTATGTTGTTTTGATGATGATTGATGATGTAGACATCGGGGTGTGTTTTTCCCCTTTATGTTTTTAAATTAAGTTTTATGGA